TACAACTGTAGCAGCTGGGATTTTCCTGAGCTGTCGGTGTCACAAGGCCTAACAACAAGATTGCAGCTTGGTATTTTTAGCACAGTAGTAATAGGCACTGGAGTAAATATTTTTCTGACCTGTAGGTTTATACAGAGATGTTTAGAAATGAAAAGTAACAATGCTATTGACTTCCTTTTTGTAAATAAATGTTGTTTTGTATTATTATATACTTGATCTCTGCCAGAAAGGTTTGCTGTAATTGATTGGTATCAGGTTTGTTCAGTCAAGCAAAGTGTTCTGTGCAGTAACCCAGAGCAAGCTGTCCATTCCTCTTTCACTGATATCACAGGAGTACGCTGAAATGCGATTGGTTGTTATGGGTTACTGCACTTTGCACAGCACCATTGTCCTTGTACAGTACTAAACCCACAACAGTAAAATCAGTCTGCATATGCAATAAAGCATGCTTGTTATATTGGAACCTCAGGAGTTAATCCTCTGTATTGTGTAAAAATGCGGTTTGATCCTGATTGCTCTGATCCTCCCCTTTTTCAAGCAACCACCTCTTATCTACAGACTGAACCATAACCACATGCACATGCTCAGTTTAGTGTGTATTGCTAGAGAGGTTTTTGTTTCTTGGGAGAGTGCATGTGCTCAGCATTAGTAACACTTTAAGTTACCTACCACAAAGGAGCAGAATTTAACCACATTAAACTGCAACGTATTCCCCAACTCACAACTAGGTGACGTCTATCACAGTAAGAGTAATAATTCCACATAATGCTCTTGCAAAGCTGATTTATTTCATTAGAGCCTTAAGGCTACGTTCACACTAGCCATGTTTGCAAGCAGCAGACAGGCGTTTGGGAAGCGTTTTTTACCGCTTCCCAAACACCTGTGAAAATTCTGCACATTGCAGCACATGGTGCTGTTCACATGGGAGCGTTAGCGTCACGGCAAAACGGACGCCTCTGGTCGAGTCAGGAGGAGTTGAAGCCTCCGGCGTTTGCGGTGCGGTTGCGACGCAGTTGTGGGTCGTTTGCAGAGCGTTAACACCATTCAAATTTCATTATAGGCATTTGTGGGGCGTTTTTAACTCTTTGCAAACGCCTAGCAAACTGCGCATGGGGCATTTGACAAGAGTAGGGGCGTTTGACAAGAGTTGGAAAAACAGTCAAGTGTGAACGAGCCCTTAAAGTACCATATTTTTTTCCCCCCTATGTATCTATATACACCGTTACATACATGATTTCATACAAACTCTGCGCACTGATACTACTTTATACAGATTAAGAAATGTTAATCATATACTTTAAATTATATTCTTTAAACTCCTCCTACAAGCTTTAACCAGTGCTCGGCTGGACACTGATAGAAGTCACAAGACTGCTCTAACTGCTGATGAGGAAAGCTATTTAGCAGTTTATATTTACTAAAATAATTGTATTTCCATGTTCTGTGTACTGTGGGAGACCAGATATAGTGAATGCAGGGTCCGGGGTTTAGTAACACTTTAAATAGGCCTGATACATGCGAGATTTGAACACTCATCTGTTTAATAGGAGGGCATTACACTTTGCACTGTATGTGCTCTGTTGTGCTGTGGGCCAAAACGAGAGTACCATTCGAAACGGTGTAGTGCACATGGTTCAGCAGTTCCATTATTTTATCCAGTTTGTCTGCAATAAACATGAATGAAAATCTCTCTTTTTGACATGGCTTTTTTCAGCGGGAATGCAGTAGCGGCATCTCCAACACGGAATGTATGTAATGGCCAGGGGTGCTGGAGTGAGCTGAAGGGTCAATTGGTGCTGGCTGCTCGGGGAGCTATTGTCGCTGGATGGGCTCTATTTTTGTTGGAGATCTATTGTTATCTGTTGTTGGGGCAGGGGGTCAGTTGTTGCTGAGAAGGATCTACTGTTGATGGAGTGGACTACTGATGTTGGCAGCTGGGAGAGCTGGTGTTGCTGTCGGGGGGCTATTGTTGCTGGGGTGGGGGGAGGGGGTCTATCATTGGGGGGGAAGAATCTATTGTTGCTGGCAGCAGGGGTCTATTTTAGGCCTCTTGAACATGGTTCTGATGTTTGAGCATCTGCTTTTGTGGACATAATTTCAGGCACTTATTTTGCGCATATTTGCGCATATTTGCACGTATTTATGCATGTATATGTGACTACAATATATTCATTAGTATTTATGCTCATATGTGTGCATTTGCATGTACTGGCGCAAAACACTGATCGGGAACGCAGATTTTTCTATTTTGTATTTATTTCTGACTCAAGAATAAGCAGTGCTAGTTCACGTGCCTGTGTGTACAGGCACATTGTAAACAATGGGCTGCATTTTAGATCAGGAGTAAGCTGAAGGGTCAATTGGTGCTGGCTGCTGAGGGATCTATTGTCACTGGAGGGGCGTTATTTTTGTTGGAGGTCTATTATCTGTTGTTGGGGCAGGGGGTCAGTTGTTGCTGAGAAGGATCTACTGTTGATGGAGTGGTCTATTGATGGTGGCAGCTGGGAGATCTGTTGTTGCTGCTGGGGGGGATATTGTTGCTGGGGTGGGGGGGGTCTATCATTGTGGGGAAATCTATTGTTGCTGGCTGCAAGAGTCTATTTTAGGCATCTTACACATGATAGTGATGTTTGAGCATCTGCTTTTTGGATGTAATTTCAGGCATTTGTTTTGCGCATATTTGAACGTATTTATGCGTGTATTCACAATATATTCATAAAGTATTTGCGTGTACTGTCGCAAAACACTGATCGGGAACGCAGCTTTTTCTTCTTTTCTTTTTTTACTCAAGAATACGCAGCTCTAATTCATGTGCCTGTGTGTACAGGCACATTGTAAACAATGGGCTGCATTTAAGACCAGTAAAAAAACCTTGCTGTACTGAGATTTTTCAAGCTGCAGTGTGCAAGAGGCCTTGCTGTTTTTCTTTGTTTTCATGAACAAATTCCATACAAATTGCTTAGCGCTACAAAATGATACTTGGTTCTGTATTCTTGAAAAGAAGTGGTACCGGGAAGTTGGTAGGGGGTGGAACCAAGGGACAGTGCTTGGAGGTGGGTAGAGAGCGGAGACAAGTGGTGACTCTCAAGGGGGAAGTTCCTGTACCTATTCTCTAAGGAAAAAGCCCTGATTTTTGACCAGATGGTGTTGCATGAAATACATATGAAAGCATTTCTGTATGTATGCAAACACTGGAAGCTTACATGTACGTTAAAGCACAGAAGTGCAATTAAAAAGTGCTTACAGCAGGGGACAAGAAAGTCCTTCTTCCTTCCACATGCATGCTGGGATATCTTGCGATATCTTGGGAAACCAAGCCCTATGTAGCATGAAGATCTATTTCAATGGATTCTTTAGGCAGGTTTTTGGTGGTGGCTGTGATGAAACTTGATGATCTGCTAAAAGCATGTTTTAAAGCTACATCCTGCTCTGTATTCGGCACAACCAGACTAGATCTTAAGGGGCTGTTTATGAGCATCATAAAAACTAGTGAGAATTAAAGTTTTATATATAATTGCTTGCTACATCTAATGCTCTTTAGCAGTGAAGACTGGCCAGTATTCCTGCAGTGGATATGTGAACTCTTACCCAAAACAACCCATTCAGTTTACAGTAGAAATGAAAGGTAACACATTTATGTGTAAAACATTATACATACTTTTTTCCTTTTTGTAAGTGATCGCATAACCACCGTTCTCAGATGCATAAGGGGCTTTGAGAATTGGGTTTGGAGAAACAGCAGTACACTGATCTCCCCAATGAATGACTGTTCTCCCAGCACAGCCAGAAAACTGACCACGCTGGAATGGATGTGCTCTCATGCTTAGTGTGGTCAGTTTGAAATAGGAAGCAGAGGGATTGGCTGGATCACTAGGTATTTCACACAAAGGAAGCAATACAAAGAGAACAGGATACTTTTTACCACAAGTACATGGTACAGCATGCACACATCAGGATTTTGAAATGTTGGGTTAACATATTCTTCAGAAATACATTTGGTGTGCATAGGTTCAGTGATTATATTGACTCCCTTGGGGAGTATCAATCCACAGCTACTCATCTCTCTGCTGGGAAAGGAATGTGTGTAAGCATTAAGGAGCAGTCCACAGGCTACCTTCCAAGGGATTACACAGTAATATCCAGGAGCTCTGGAGGGAGGCTATCATATTGCAGACCCCATCCTGACCAGCTGATGACTCCAAGGGAAATTTATATTTATAAACGCCCATTTAACTGTGCGTTCTGGTGAGTGTGCATTTCTTCAGCACTATTTCGCACAGCACCTGATTATCAGGAGGATATGAAATAGAGGAGAGCACTTGAAGTCACCTTGATATTATCATATGAACTGTTCTATTCATTTATTTATTCATGTGTATACATATTTGTATCTATACATCCATTCATTTATTTATAGTGTTCCTCTTCTGTAGCGCTGCATCTTTTGATTTATATTGTTTTTTTTGGGGTTTATGGTTACCTGGCGCACAGCTGCTACTTTGCATTTATAGGTGCGCTCGTATACATTTTTTATCATCTTATATGGTTGGGACCAGATGAGAGATCAGATGAGAGAGAGATATCATATTACCCCTGTACAAATCATTGATAAGACCTCATCTGGAATATGCAGTTCAGTTTTGGGCACCAATTCACAAAAAGAACATTGAGGAACTGGAGAAAGTACAGAGAAGGGCAACCAACCTGATAAGAGGCATGGAGGAGCTCAGCTATGAGGGAAGATTAGAGGAACTGAATTCTCTCTTGAGAAGAGGAGATTAAGGGGGGATATGATCAACATGTATAAATACATCAGTGGTTCATATAGTGAACTCGGTGTAGAGCTATTCACCCTGAGGTCATCAGAGAGGACAAGGGGGCACTCTTTAGATCTGGAGGAAAAGAAATTTAATCTCCAAACACGGAAAGGTTTCTTCACAGTAAGAGCTGTGAAAATGTGGAATAGGCTCCCGCAAGAGTTGGTTCTGGCCAGCTCAGTGGATTGCTTTAAAAAAAGGCCTGGATTCTTTCTTAGATACACAGAATATACCGTATTTTTAGCTCCATAAGACGCACCTAGGTTTTAGAGGTGACAAACAAGAAAAAAAAAATATTCTGAACCAATGGACTGCAGACACAGTACAGGGGGTGACCAGAGACTGCGGACAGCACAGAGATGACCAGAGACTGCGGACACAGCACAGGAGATGACCAAAGACTGCAGACATAGTACATGAGATGACCAGAGACTGCGGACACAGTACAGGGGATGACCAGAGACTGCGGACACAGCACAGGAGATGACCAGAGACTGCGGACACAGCACAGGAGATGGCCAGAGACTGCGGACACAGTACAGGGGATGACCAGAGACTGCGGACACAGCACAGGAGATGACCAGAGACTGCGGACACAGTACAGGGGATGACCAGAGACTGCGGACACAGTACAGGAGATGACCAGAGACTGCGGATATAGTACAGGAGATGACCAGAGACTGCGGACACAGTACAGGAGATGACCAGAGACTGCAGACATAGTACAGGAGATGACCAGAGACTGCGACAAAGTACAGGGGATGACCAAGAGACTGCGGACATAGTACAGGGGATGACCAGAGACTGCGGACATAGTACAGGAGATGACCAGAGACTGCAGACACAGTACAGGGGATGACCAGAGACTGCGGACACAGTACAGGAGATGACCAGAGACTGCGGATATAGTACAGGAGATGACCAGAGACTGTGGACACAGTACAGGAGATGACCAGAGACTGCAGACATAGTACAGGAGATGACCAGAGACTGCGGACAAAGTACAGGGGATGACCAAGAGACTGCGGACATAGTACAGGGGATGACCAGAGACTGCGGACATAGTACAGGAGATGACCAGAGACTGCGGACACAGTACAGGGGATGACCAGAGACTGCGGACACAGTGCAGGGGATGACCAGAGACTGCGGACATAGTACAGGGGATGACCAAGAGACTGCGGACATAGTAGAGACTGCAGACAGTGCAGGGGATGACCAGAGACTGCAGACAGTGCAGGGAATGACCAGAGACTGCAGACAGTGCAGGGAATGACCAGAGACTGCAGACAGTGCAGGGAATGACCAGAGACTGCAGACAGTGCAGGGAATGACCAGAGACTGCAGACAGTGAAGGGAATGACCAGAGACTGCTGACCTTTGGGGAGGGAGGGGGAGCGGGTTACCTGAATTTGACAGGTACCCGCTCCCACTTCCGCGGAGTTCCCTTCCCTCTTCTTCCCGGGACGGCTTCTGTGACAGCCGGGTGCCCACTGCGCATGTGCGAGAAGCGCTGCGCTTTGTGAATGGCCCTTTCATGTGTCTCAGAAGACACCGGATCATTCACAAAGCGCAGCACATGCGCAGTGGGCACCCGGCTGTCACAGAAGCCAGTGCAGGAAGACTGTGCAGTGCTGGAGCGAGGAACAGGTAAGGCCCTGCAGGAGACAACAGCTGAGCGGCCGGCCCGGTATTCTGACATGGTGGCCGCAAAAATACCGGACTGGCCGCTTTATATTCGCTCCATAAGACGCACTGACATTTCCCCCCTTTTTGGGGGGGAAAAAAGTGCGTCTTATGGTGCGAAAAATACGGTAACTGGATACTAACATTTATAGGTAAAGTTGATCCAGGGAATATCCGATTGCCTCTCAGGGGATCAGGAAGGAATTTTTTTTCCCAGCAGGAGCAAATTGGATCATGCTTTGCTGGGGGTTTTTTTTGCCTTCCTCTGGTTCAACTGTGGGTATAGGATTTTAACTTTTTTTTTTTTTCTATGGTTGAATTGGATGGACTTTTGTCTTTTTTCAGCCAGACTAACTATGTAACTTCAATTTTTTAGTTCCAAACCATCCAGCCCTGAATAATTTGCATTTCTTACTAAAGTGTGGCAGCACTGGGAGCACAGGGGATCATTGAACATTAAAAAGCCTCATTAAAGGATATATCTTACCTTCTAATAGGACCCTTCCCATGAATATTCTGCTCTCTCATTTGTCCCTGCCTCCCAGAATAGTCAACTGACATTTGACTGCAATGCTTCCAAGGTGATTTATATATATTTTTTTGTTTGTTTGAGCCAAACTCTACAATGGATGGTGGAATATTCTAATCCCTATAATGGTTTTCATAGATGGTGCTGGATAAGCAGCAATATTTATATTTGCCTAGATCAGAGGTCTCCAATCTCTCTAAACAATGGGCCAGTTTACTGTCCTTCAGACTTTAGGAGGGCTGGACTGGCCATTGGGAGTAGAAAAGGTAGAATGGCACCCCATCAGTGGTGTCATTGGGAGGAATTCTGTCTAATCATTGGTGTCATTGATTCCCATTGTTGGTGTCATTGAGAAGAATTGTGCCCCTCCATTGGTGTCAGTGGAGGAAATTATGCCCCATTGTTAGTATCAGTGAATAAAGTAGTGCCCCAAGGGCCAGATAAAAGCAAGCAAAGGGCCACATCTTGCCCTTGGGCCGCAGTTTTGGAGATCACTGGCCTAGTTTATACATGCAAGTATATACACACTTACGTTAGCTATACATATATGCGGGTGTGGAAATGCATTTAGATCGCACACATTTTTGCACTCACAGGCAAATCACACTGCTATTTAGCAGACACGCGGGCTGCCAATAACTCCTAATGACACCCCTGTGCATCTGAAAATGCAATGAGTTGAAATTGCAATCTGAAAAATCACATGGTGCAAAAGCTTTACATCCATTCACTGGGAAGTTCAGTGTCCTGCTCTTTCTCCTTCCTGAGCTTCTTATGCAGCTGAGAACAGAGGGACTATGATCACTTATAAAAAAAAAGGAAAAAAAAAAGGTAATGTTTTTTTTATACCTATACACAAATGTTTTGCTTTTAATTTTTTAATTTTTTAACTGAATGGGTTGTTTTACAAGGTGAGGGTTTACATATACTTTAATGAAAATGCCTGTACCCTTGGTTCACACCTAAGCGTTTTCTGCAGCGTTTTTGCAGAAATGCAGTAGAGTCCATTTAACATGATATCTTATGGGGCATGTTCACAACTGCGTGTTTTCACCCGGTGCGTTTTTTGGAAAGCATCAGGGACTTATTTGAACGCAAAACGTTGCGTTTTTGGTTCTATAGACTTCAATGGAAACGTTGTAGAAAAGCATGTATTGCGTTTTAAATCTGCCTAGCAACAAGAAAAAAAATAAAAAAGCAAAAACACAGGTGCAAAAATACAAAGCGCAACGCAAAACGCAATGCAGAAACGGGTCAAACGCTACCTGCATAGGTGTGCACCTAGCCTTAATGTGGGGCACAAGCAGTTTCTTGAGATTTTTGGGGTTTTTTTTTCTAGCTTGAGCAAATGTTCTCCTGTTCTCCTACCCCAAAACAACCTTTTGTGGAGTTGAATAGCTAAGTGCAAAGAAAACTGAAAATGTTTTTTCCTAGCAAATTGTTTAATATATGCATTGTGGTGAGCTGCAGTGTGGTTGCGTTGTCTGTTATCTACTTTTGTGGAAAAGTAGCTGCTAAACCCCATCTCCAGTTCTAACCACTGTCACAAAAAAATCTGCGGTGTCTTCCAGGTAAAGAATGACAGCCTGGCTTCACTTTCTTTATGCTGGGCAGAAGGGAAGATGGCAATGCCAAGTGAATACCTGGGAATAATTGGAGCTCTGGAGAAAAACTTGAATAGAGCTTTTTGTTGACTGCCTATATACCAGAGAGTTATTTATCAGTTCAATTACTTATTTGAAGCACCTTTTTGCAAACCTTGTCAAATGAAATGGTTATTTTAAATTTCACTGACAGTTTATAATTCAGTTTTGGGTTCACAAATTGATTTATCTGGATCAGGACTGACCATTTGGAAACTCGGGCACTGCCCAAGGGCCCGGGGTCAGTAGGGGGCCCCATGAGATGCCCCTGGTACCTTTTTCATAGGTTTTTTTGGGCTTGGGCAAGGACACAGGGGCCCCATGATCCCCTATTGCCCGGGGGCCCCCCATTAGTTGCCAGTCCGCCCCTGATCTGGATGCTGGCTCACAGGTACATTGGTAGAAAATTCTGTTCCACCAAGTTGCCACAGCCTTTAAAAAAACAAGTAATTCCATCATTATTTCCTACCAGAGTCTCCATTATGAAGAAAGACGATTGGGAGTTCATCTCTAAGAGGATGAGACCTCACTTAGACAACAGAAAGAACTGACAGTATAAAAAGCGAGTTCTGAGACTAACTGACATAGTGTCCATTCTACCTGCAGTATACTATTGCAGTGACTAATGATTGGAGATTGAGTGAGTTTGGCTCAGCCATCAGCTTACTATTTGCCATTATCTGCATTGAACTGGAATATATATCTCCTTGGATAAATAGAAATTATATGATACATAACACTGGCTATATTCTATCTTTCCTGTGAAAGAGCTCATCTTTAAAGATGTAATAATCCTTTTTCACTGTTTGAGCCCAGAGATCTCTATGTGGATATATGCTACAGTAATGTGCTTCTACAATACAAGCATCAGGACTGGCTACACTTGTGTCGTATGCCCATGGTCCCCATTGCCAGCGATATATGCATATCTTAGACCAAATAGGACTAGCCCATCATCATCACCAAAGTATAGCACTATATAGCACTTTTGTGCGGATTGCATGGATGCGCACGCCTCATCCTGGTGTGCAAATGCACGTTGATTACCCCTTGGCTGTATATTAGAGGCATTTTTTGACTATATACAGCAGGGGTCTCCAAACTTTCTAAACAAAGGGCCAATTTACTGTCCTTCAGACTTTAGGAGGACCGGACTGGCCAGTGGGAGTAGATAATGTCCCAGCGTCAGTAGGAGTTAAAAAAAATGACATAGTGCTTGTAGTCAGTGGAAGGTGGGGAGTAGGAGGAATAGTATCCAGTCATTGGTATTAGTTGGAGGAACAGTGCCCTATTTTGGTAGTAGTGGGAAGAATAGTGCCCCATCATTGGTATTAATGGGAGGTATAGTGCCCCATCATTGGTATTAGTGGAAGGAATAGTGCCCCATCAGTGGTATTAGCAGGAAGAACAATGCCCCATTATTGGTAGTAGTGGGAGAAATAGTGTCCCTTCATTGGTATCAGTGGGAGGAATAGTGCTCCATTATTGGTAGTAGTGGGGAGAATAGTGCCCCATCATTGGTATTAGTGGGAGGAGTAGTGCCCTATCTTTGGTATTAGTGGGAGGAGTAGTGCCCCATCATTGGTGTCAGAGGGAGAAATAGCCCCATCATTGGTATAAGTGGGAGGAATAGTGTCCCATCATTGGTATTAGTGGGAGGAATAGTGCCCCATCATTGGTGTCAGAGAGAGAAATATTGCCTCATTATTGGTGTTAGTGGGAGGAATAGTGCCCC